TTTGATATTCACAGAAGGTACATTTATACCTATCAGCCATAATGGATTATAAAACTCTTGTGTCTTACATGCCACTGAGTACCAGTTGCTGGGGATCAACAACAGATAGTTTTTTTCACACAACACACACTTCATTTATTAAATTCAAGGCCACACTATGGGGCACTTACCCACACGTTCAGAGAGATTTCAAAGGCAGATTTGATATTCACAGAAGGTACATTTATACCTATCAGCCATAATGGATTATAAAACTCTTGTGTCTTACATGCCACTGAGTACCAGTTGCTGGGGATCAACAACAGAAGAGGGTTTTTACCTTCATATCTTGCTTCTGGCCTTTGCAAAGGTATATATTTATTCACTGTGGAAGCAGGATACTGGACCAGATGGATCACAGATTGGTTAAGCAAGACTCTTCCGAATTCAACACAAACATCAAAACTTTTTCATATTCTTGGTATTTAAACTACTCAAAACCCATTTCATTTTTGATAAACAAATGTACACTACGAGGATTAAAGAGAATGAGGAGTATCAGAGACTTGATTCCACCTATCAATCACTTGAATACAAAGTGATCTGAAACTTACTGTCTGTAATCCTGATAACGTGTATGAGAAAAAGGAATATCTCAGTTTCTATAAGGTTGGTCACTGTGTAAGATACAGCATCCTTAACATATGCTTCTATAAGAACAACCAAGATGAATGTGAAAACATCAGTCTCTCAAGCCCTTCCACAACACTAAAAACCTGTTCCCTTTCCCAGCCCTCCATTGTATGTTTTGGGGCACACAGTGGTCTGAAAGAGGAAAAGGGAACACACACACACAACACACACACACACACACACACACACACACACACACACACACACACACACGAGATTCCATTGGTAGTAATTACATGAAGATGTACAGCAATAATACTGCCCAAAACAGCAAGACTAAACTACAATGTTGTCAAACTTCTCCAGGCATGTCTTGTGTCTGGATCATTTTTAATATTGACTGCCAATCTCACAGATATTCATATTTTAGACAATATCACGGCTTGAATTCAGTCCCAAGGACAAAGTGTATTTTTTTAATGATGTATGCCTCCTTGGGTCCTTTTTTGAGAGAAAGGCAGAATAAAAATATTTAAAATAAAATTTAAAATAAATAAATGGTAAATAAATAATACTAACAAAGATCTATTTTACAGCCCAGGAAGAATATCTCTGCTGTTCAGATGATCCATTCTTATCACATCTTACAACCTCTCACATTGCAGTTTATATCTAGCCAAAGTTCAAATTCCTAACACCTTTTCAAGAGGAAGCAAAATTTTCCACACAAGAAAAACAAAATAAAATTCTTCATTCTAAAAAGAAGCCATGTAGATCTTTTAGAATACTAAAAAGATTTGACATAGTACCAACATTCACACTGTCAAATTAAAGAGGCGACTATCATTCAACATGACAGAAATGCCATGAAGTTGGCTAACAGGTAGGAATTGTTTTAAATGATGGATAAATTTCCATGTACTGTATATAAATTCCTAGTTGTACCTTGTGTTAACATATCTGCACATTTTTGGTAAAATGAAGCATAAATTATGCTGCTGGATTTCTCAGAAGCAGTACTATAATTTAGATATCAGAGAGAAACAGAAACGACAATATTTTTTTAAATGGCATCTATGTATATGAGTCATTTGATTTTCACCTTTTAGAAAAGCAGCTATCTATTAACATTCAGAACAAGAGGTGGGTAACTTACAGCCTTCCAAAGGTTCTTGGATTTCTAAGCCATCAGCCCTTATAAGCATAGATGGTAGTCAGGAATGCTGGGCATGAATGATGGTGATGAAGGGCATAGGGGGCTCACAACACTTTGGAGGCTACACATTCTCCATATTTGCCTTAAGGAAATCAGCTCTTGGATGATGAAATCCTGACAGGAAAATATCTTCTATTCAGGAACGTCAGTTCTAAATCTGTCACTTCTGAAGGACAGAATGTCTTGCGAATTTGACCAACGAACAGTGAATAACAGACAAGTTGATCTATTCTGGCTTTCAAAGTGTTTAAAATGATCCCTGCCAATGTTCCATTTGGAAGATGTGAGAATAGGCATCCATACCCAAAACCTGATGGACATCAAGAACCCTCAAAAGGAGTGTTCCCTAACTTTGTATCCACAGTCACAGGACTGCATACCCGTACTTCCAGCCACAATGGGCAATGGTCTGGTACAATGGCCATTTCAAGCCAATAACAGTAGGAACCAAAAGCTGGAGTTAGACTCTCCCTCTCCCCCCTCCTTTTTGTTACTCATTGTCTCTGTCTCTCTGACACAGAGAGAGAGAGAGAGAGACACAGAGTGAGAGACACACCAACGAAAGCAAACTGCACAAGAGGCCCTCCAGTTCGTTTATAGTACCAAAACAAAAATCATAATGTTGGCCATTCTAAATAAAAAGCAGCATTTTGCAAATCAGCAAATACGTAGATAAAGGACATGTAGAACATTTTGCTGCCTTTTGACAAGTTACTGTTAATCTCATATTCATCCTCACCAAGGCGGTAGGGATGAACTTATGAAATACAATTCAAATAAAGCAGCCACCCTAAGAAATACTTCTGCTAACTGCAGTCACACATGGGAAAAAGAAAGGAAAAACAAGCCGATTAGTGTTAACCTTCAAAGCCTGGGAGAACAGGATAGTCTTGACCTGTCTCTGGGAGATGATCATCCATATACCCTTGCTGGCATCAGAAAGAGAGCGCATTCCTGAAACACCATATCACTACTGAAAAACTAGTGAGATACATGTTTTTAGTGGACTGCTTTAAAAACAGTCTTTGCCCATTTTAATACAAATATATTGGGAGCTCGATTTCCCATTATTACTCCTTGGCAGGGAATGGACTCAATTATCCATAGGGTCTCTTCCAGCTCTGTAGTTCTAAGATGATGATGATGATGATGATGATGATAATGATGATGATGATGATGATGATGATGAACAACAGTACTGCATACAGATCTCAACAGACATGTGGAAAAGGCTTGACAGTATGTGCAAACATTTCAGTGCATAGAAGAGCCTCCTGTTTTCTCTCCTGTCTGCAGCTCCTAGTCCTGTACTTAATGGGTCTCACTGACAGGTCCTCTGAATGGACCTAGAAAGGAGTGCTCCTAGAACTTCAAGTATGTTTCTTTAAACTGCAGCCTAATAATAAATAGTTCAGCTGTACAATCAGGAAAAAAATACTGTAGTGTGTGTGTGTGTGTGTGTGTTCATGTTTCTACTGACCCACTCACCCACCCCAATTCATTAGAAGGCTAGAGACACAAATAACAGTCTGATCTTCACTTCAGAAGGGTCAGAGTACACGCTTTACATGCAGAAGGTCCCAGCTTCTGGATATCTCTTGTTAAATTATCCCAGATCCCAGCTGTCAGATGCCTTGGACAGCTGCTGCCAGTCAGAGGTGATTGCACTGCGTAGAACAGTTAACGGCCAACACTCCACTAATGTCTTTTTCAACTTTAGACTGCATGGCCTATATGTACCTAATCAAATAGGTACTAGGGCATGTCTCGTTTAAGCAACTGGGTGCATGACCACACACATAATCAAGATGCAACCTGGCATTTCATCGATTAGCTGCAGTTAGCCACACAAACCAGTTAACTAGACTGGAAATGGACAGAATTTATGTATGGAGCAGCACAAGTATGATTAAGTCACAATGAGAAGACATTTCAAATGCACCTTAGTGTGTGTGAGGAATGTCTTCCTAGGAGAGCCTAAGTTAGCCTCTCCTGACCTTTAGGGAAACAGGTGAAGAGCTTCCTTCCTAGCCAGGCTTTTAACAACCACATTGAGCAGTGATGACGGGTTGTTGTTTTTCATTCTAGAATACTGCACACCGTTGCTTTAATGTACATTTTAAGGTGTTTTTAACAGTCCTAAACTAATTGACAATTGTTTTAGTATTATTATATGCTTACCAGTTTTTTAATGTAATCACTTAGTGTGTTTTTAGTTGGCTTGTTTTTTAAATAATGTCTGAGGCACCTTGTGTCCCGTCACCAAAAGAAGGTGGCATAAAAATGACATAAAAATAAATAAATAAAATATATCTGTGGATACTACCATGTGACAGTTTGAAGGTGTGCTTTTGCTTCTCTGAAAGTTTTGAAAACTCACAGCATCATGAAATTTGAGTTCACCAGCTCCTAGCTTAACCTAAATCAGTCTGTATTTCATTATTTCACCACAATATGTTTCACTGCACAGTTCCCCCTGTGGTGCCATTAGTGAGGCATTCTTAAAATTTAAAACACTATGGTCTATTAATTAAATTACTGCCCTGTTTCTTGGCCAAAGTCCTTAATGTATCTGATGCTAAAAGCTAATGCTGCATACAATAAAACAGTTTATCACAAACATCTATAAAAACAAACACATCCTAGGCAAAAATCATCTCACACTGTTCTGGGTGGTAGATGACACTTCATGCAACTCAAATGTGTTGGTACAAAATAAGACATGCTTTCTGGGGGAGAAAAACATCTCAGCCATCCTCTGGAAGTCAAAGTAGTCAAGCTAGCTTTTCTGTGCAGAGAATTTCAGTACATTCATAATAACTTAATCATGCATAAAATGGGCTTCATCTGTGTCATGGCTTTGCAAATCAATTGGTCTTGAAAGAAGCATAAACAACAGGCTGTTCCAATCTATTCAAAGCCCAGTTTTAGGCTGCTGAACTATCCCATTAATTTCCACCATAGTACGTATAGACAAAGGTTGACAGTTCCATTCAAACCTTCTACTTCACAACATTTAGAACCAAGGCACTATTTTATTGTCAACTAAAAGCCTCAACATTTTGTCATCTCCACTGAAATATCTAAACTACAATTCAGCCAGAGTAGCTTATAACATCTTCCTGCTACAAGAACAGAGACAAACAATAACTTAATAGTACTATCAACTTACCTCATATGCCCCAGGACCAGGAGTGTCGTCCCTTCTCTCTTTAAAGCGCTCCACTCTGGAAACCCAAACTGTAACGCTGGACGGAGATTTTGCCCCTAGGTTGCATGCCTCTGGGCTGTATGTTCCTGGACCTAAAACAGAAAGGGTATGTGGAATTGAACAGGATTAATTTATTTCCATGATTCTTGCCAGAAGCTTGTTTTTAAGCCATGAGAAAAAAAGAGAGATATCAACATTTGTATCCCAAGGTTTCATAAAATAATATCCATAAAATCTCATTTCATATTATCAGGTTGGTATCCTAGTATTTCATATATATCCACATTGCTCAGTCCTTGTATGAAAACTTTATCGATGCCCAAAATTGTTTGTGTATGAAGTGATACATTTACACCTCATTCTTCCTTTAGGAAGCTTCTGACAGCTTATATAGAAAACCCTAGGCTTGTTCTCCCACTGAAGCTAGGGTCAGACGGAGGTGTGCTTTGCTTTGGCAACACAAAAGCATCATACACTTTCAAGTCATTCTCAGGCATTGTTCAAACAGCCTCCATTCTACTGAAGTATTATCTGCAGGGTATGTTAAAAAAACAAAGTATTTTCAGCAAGCAAGGAATGTTTCCAATTTCCACAACTACTTGGTAAGATTCAAACAGTGCAGCAAAGGTCAAAATGTGACAACTGCAAGGTGACAACATAGGGAGACTTTAAGAGTGTACAGTTATATCTTTACTTTCAATAGCCTCACAAAATGCAGCAAAATGTCAACACAGACCAGGTAAATTCTGTAGGCTAGGAATGGATTGATTGGTCTTATTCTGACATATACCCATGTGCATGTGTTCATTCACAAATCCAGTTCATGTTAATATTAAGGCTTTGATTTAATCTATAGAAAAAAATACATTTCAATAGATACTGTTTGAAAATATTTTTATTACAAGTGCAAATTTCCAAATTGAAAATTGAGAACTGTGATTTTTAAGATCGAGAACTGTATCTCTTCTGAGGCACAGGAATTTTCCACCTGCCCATGGATACAGGAGGTGTGATGTCAGAATGTCTTTTTGTGTCAGAATACACAATGTCCAACTCTTTCCACTCTCTAGATTTAATAGCAACATTGGTGAGCTTTCTTGTTTCATTCTCATTTACTTCTTCAGGCTAAGTTTGAGCAGAAAGTGTTCTCCAAACACCTCCATTTGTCTTCTTAATTCAGAGCAGGATGAAAAAGGTTCTGCTTGCCATGCATCTCTCAAGTCTGTACACTGCCATCCTGGCTGATGAACCATGGGAACTTCAAATCAGTTTCACCCAAAGATCAAAGGATTTATGAGCTCTTAAGCAACCGAACCTATATTGATTAGCCACTGGCTAATATTTTAAAAATCTTCCTGTTCAAGATGAATATTTGCCTTGGCAACAACAGAAGTGGTTGTGCATCACTGCCAGGTGGTTTTCAATGTAAGGTAGTTATTCCCAACATTTGGCAGCTCAAGTGTTCTTGAACTGCAATTCCCAGAAGTCTTTGCCACCAGCTATGCTGGCTGGGGTTTCTAGCAGTTATGGTCTAAGAACACCTGGGTTACGCAAGGTTGGGAATCACTGCTGTAAAGAATTCTAGGTGTTGACTCTTCCTGCTGGAGAAGACTCTGGAACTCCAAAAGGGGTAGATTCTTCATCTACCAGCTCAAACCAGAAATGAGAAAAGTTACTTTTTTAACTATGACTCTCCAAATCCTGTAGCAAACTTGGTCATTAGTAGAGATGGGGGTATTCGTACAGATGGAAATAACGAAGGTCTGGAAATAACAAACCCCCATGGGGCCGGATTGTCCACTCATAATTTCGCCGCTGCCGCCGGCTCAGCAGAGCCTTCCTCTTGTGCCATTCTCTGCAATGGAATAGCCACTCTGCAACCTAGCAGAGAGGCTTGTCATCCTGCCTCCTGCCAGGACTGAGTAATCCACTGCGGACAACAGCGCGATAGGAAGGCTCTGCAGACCCAGGAGCAGGGCGAAATTGTGAGTGGACAGTTCAGCCCCATGGGGCCAGACCCTCATTATTTCCACCTGTTCAGGAATAAGGTAAAGGTAAAGGTTCCCCTTGACAATTTGTCCAGTCGTGTCCGACTGTAGGGGGCGGTGCTCATCTCCGTTTCCAAGATAATCTTCCGTGGTCACGTGGCCATCGTAACTAGACACGGAACGTCATTACCTTCCCACCATGGTGGTACCTATTTATCTACTCGCATTTTGCATGTTTTCGACCTGCTAGGTTGGAGGGAGCTGGGACAAGCGACGGGGGCTCACTCTGTCGCGTGGATTTGATCTTACGACTGCAGGTCTTTTGACCTTACAGGACACAGGCTTCTGCAGTTTAACGCGCAGTGCCACCATGTCCCTGTGCAGGGATATTCATATTCAGAGAGATGAATACAGAGATACCCCCATCTCTGTTTATTAGTCATGCTGGTTATGGGATATCAGGCATTGCAGTCCAAAACCAGTAAGTCTCCCCATCTCTAACTCAAAACTCAGTTCATACTCTAGATGTACAGGTAAATACTGCTGGAGCCTCATACCGCAATTTAAATTTATTGGAAGAGAAAGGACAAGAAAGAGACAAAAACCTAATCTAACCCTTCATTACCCATAACTGATGTCAATTTTCTTGTTATTTTCCTGTATAAAAGTCTGCTTTTTGTTATATAACTCTAAGACATAGTTTCCATTATACATATGCCGTTGCTTATGCAGCGCAGGTCAAAGACTTGCTTTACTAGCTTCTTATAGCACCAGTTGAGGAATGAATTATGCAAAAGCTATCTCCTATTTATTTACCAAAATGCCACATTTTAATCACAGGTCAACAAAGAATAAAACTTTTTCATTCCACAGCAAGCACCTAGGAAAAGCCTGCCTGTGTTGTGATTTGTACATAATGGAAAAATCAAGAGAAGGTGATTCTTATAATTATACATTTTCTGGCCCTATGCAGTTTCATTCTCTATGAAATGTCAACCAATGCTACAGGGCAAAAGCAGCACAGAACAAGAGCAATGGTAATTTAAACTGAAAATCTATGCTACTGGCCCTTCAATGTGAACATTTTCAGTACAGTCAAGGAAGATGGGGAAACGATTGCTTCACAAAGCGGAGCTTTAAAATTCAAACACAAATTTTCTTTACAGTAGGAAGCCCATTTGTTGATCCTATGTCATTCAGTTGCCATCCACTTTACTGCAAGCTCCTGTTATCAGCTCATAAAACCTTGATGTTTAAAACAACATCCAAAACCAAAGATTTAAAGAATTTTTTTTTACATAATCACAAGCAAACAGAGAACATGTTTCTGACATGTTAGCTGTTTCACTTTAGAATTTTCTTTCCGAGAATGAGAAAGTGATAAGTGACACTTTAAGAATTTATTTATTATGCCAGTGACATCCATAGACAAGAACTGTATCTTTTGCCCCAGATTAAAATGATACTGTATCTAGACCAGATAAACGCAGTCTTAGCAGGTGGTTCATCAGCCCCACAAAATGGAATTCATCTTGCTCTAGACCAGGTATTTTAAACTCAATTTACCTGGGGGCCGCTAGAGACAGAGTCTGGGTGAGGCTGGGCCGCATCAGATTTTCCGCCAAGTGGAGCAAGAGCCCGAGGAAGCCGCCCAGGAGTTTCCTTAGCTGACAGACAGGTGGGCTGGCTGGTAGGCTGCAGTTCTGGATGGAGGGGCAAGAGATGCTGTCTTGGGAGAGAGCCGGCGAGCGAGGCAAGGCTTTTTTTTTACTCTTGACAGCAGAGGATGTGTGGGCGCTGGGGGGGGCAGGCAAGGCGAGGGCCACAAACTATCATCTGGGGGGCCGCAAATGGCCCCTGGGCCGCATGTTTGAGACCCGTGCTCTAGATAGAGTTGACCAAAGTAACAGATTCATAATTTTGTTGAAAAATCCAGAACTTGGTCATTTCAGGCTCAAGTAGCCTAACTGGCACAGAGTACTGTACTTTTTATCAGCTTTGAAGTATGCCCCTACCTGGATAGAGATAATCTGGCTGCACTTATAAAGAAGTTCGAAAGTGTGTAAATGTGAGTAGATAGATACCACCACGGTGGGAAGGTAACGGCGTTCCATGTCTAGTCGCGCTGGCCACGTGACCACGGAAACTGTCTACAGACAAACACTGGCTCTACAGCCTGGAGACGGGGATGAGCATTTCACCCTAGAGTCAGACGCAACTGGACTAAATATCAAGGGGAAGCTTTACCTTTACCTAAATATTAACTTATATTACTGAATATAATTACTGGATAACTCAAGTGTTCTTGAACTGCAATTCCCAGAACCCTTACCACCAGCTGTGCTAGCCAGGGTTTCTGGGAGTTGCAGTCCAAGGACATCCAAGTTACCCAAGATTGGGAACCACTGGTCCAGAATATATAGTTGGAACAAAATAAAACAGCAAGACCATGGATTGGTTTGCCCCAGTGTCACTGGTCATTAACCAGTTTCTGAGCCCAATTCAAAGTGCTGATGATAACCTTCCAAGTTTCAAACAAATTAGGTCCAGTGTATCTGAAGAAGCACCTGCTCATATGTTCCTGCACACTCAGGAGGTTCAATCTCAGACACTCTTCTTCTAGTGTCACCAGCCACAGTGATATGGTGGATAGTAACTAGCAAAAGAATCTTTTCAGTGATTCTCCCTGTCTCTCAACAGAATGCCCACCATAGAGGGTCTATTTGGCATTCTCACTATTAGCACAGGATAGGAAATTGCATCTTATCAGCAGAAGAGAAAGGAAAAAAAAACATTATATTGATGGCCAAAGGCAACAGCTCATGTGGCTGTTATGTTTAGAACCCATCTAACCTTGAAAATAGTATCATCTCACTAGGGATGTGAAAAATTATTCCAAAATTATTCATATTTGACATGCACAGTCAAAATTATTCATATTTGACACAGTCTTGACATGCAGAGACAAGCTGTCAAGAAGTGGCCAGTTCCTACAAGATTTCCCTCCTCCGGTAAAACAGCAGGGCCTTTGGTTTTTTTTATTGTTGAGCCTTTCAAATTGTGTAAAATGTATCTGTGCAAAATTAGGGTTTTTTTCCCCTCGT